CGTGAAAAGGAGAAGATAAATTGTGACCTGAATTTACAGCAGTTCTGTATCAAAATATGCTTTCTGCTCCACTGATGTGTTTGCTGGTTACAGCATGTAATATATATACACATGTATGACTATCTGAGCTATCTGCTACTGTATGACTTGTTTTTAAATCTTGCTTTTAATACAGAAAAAGAGAATTTTCTTTCAAGGATTGTACATTCAAGACCTTAATGTTTTTGTTTCAGAGTAATGCTTAGGAAAATACTGCATGTATTTAGGATTTAATTTCAGGCAGCTTCTTTCTAATGTTCACTTGTCAATACTATTGGAGGGGGTGAACAAGAGGGAGAAGAAAGGAAGCTAGGATCAGGCCTTGTTAGTTAATTAGCTTTTTGTCTATTATCACATTTGCCTTGTGAAAGTTTTTGAAGAGGGCATAATCAAGACAAAGAAGTTACACCAAACCTTAATTATTTCTTATTTACTCAGGCACAAATTGAATACTAATCAACTCCAGCTTCTTCCTGTTCTTGAAGTTGGTAACAACAGATTATTTATACATGAACACCAATTTTTTGTGATGGCAAATATTTAAACAAATCTTTGTATTAAAAAATGAGAGCTCTTGCCTCATTCTCAGTATTCAAATTGTCAGTATTTGTTTGAACATCTTACAGCTGGGTTAGAAACAGCCCTGTAAACTCAGGAAAATTTTGCAACAGCAACAAGCAGTTCAGTTATGTGGTTTTTTTTCTTTGAGAGGGAAGAGAGGCAAAGATTGTGTTTTTTTCCACCTATTCTCTTTCCTTTGCAAATAGGAAAGAAGTGTGTTTGAAAATGGCTGCTGTTTCTTCCTCATACACATTGTTCTTAAAAAGTTACACGACGACAATCATTGTACAAGAGTTTATATACTTTCCTATAGTATCACGTGAAAATCATCATAGAATCATCACAGAATGGCATGGGTTGAAAAGGACCAGAGTGATCGAGTTTCAACCCCCCTGCTATGTACAGAGTGGCCAAATCAGCCTTATTAATTTCTCCAGAGTATAAATTTGTAAATTGTTTTCATTTGCAGTAGAACTTAAGACAGATGGGGAGGAAGACGAGATTTGATGATTTTCACAAGTACAATGAGGAGACCTGTGTTCATTTTTTTTTTTTCTTAATTCAATAGAACACTGTAGTTAAGGGAATTGAATGTAAGTCGTGTGCTAGCTGATAAATACAGAGTGCTGTTCCTTTCAAGGGACGTGATCAGTTCTACTTTCTGAGCTACTCAGAATTTTTTTTAAATAAAATTCATTTAACAGAAAAGAAGTGTGCTTCAGGTTGAGAAGCGTGAACCACTCCCCTCTTTGAGCTGACAGTTACTACTCATTATTTTCAATAGAATAGAGGATTTAGCTTTACTCCATCCTCCTTTTATGTCAGTAGATAACAGCTGTCCCAATACTGCTTGTAGAGACTTGTCCCTGATTTTTAGCATTGTAGGAGCTTTTCCATCAAATGAAAGAAGAAAAAAGTTGAAAATTCAAGATCAAGTTGTGGCAGGGAAGCCAAATAAACGCTGCTCCTTTTTGAAATAAGGTCATTTTCCAGTCTTGAAGATTCAGGCCAAGAGAAATCGAAGGAACTGGTCTCACGAGGGAGAAAAGGACGTTAATTGAATTCTTGAGCTCTTTTTCAGGGATATTGTCTTAAGAGTTAGGAATCTATTAAGAGATTTAAGCATAGCTAATGCCTAATGATGGTAGCCTTCTCAGTGGCTCATTAAGTAGAGCAAGCACTAGTGGTACTGTTCTAAAAGATTTTGGAGATGGAAATAAAACAGCTTTTCTTCGTCATACTGAAGTTCAGCTCAAAAAGCCCTGAAGTTGTTCACATACACAAAGCTGTGATGAAGATGGACAGTAGTTCTATCACTGTTTATAAGATGGTAGGATCGCTTTTCTTATGTGATGTGACTGAATCTTTAACACAGCAGTCAAGGTGAACTAGGCTATTTCAAACCACTGTGTCATGTTTCAACTCCGAAGAGCAGTGCCCCAAGATCTATGTATGTCAGTAGCAATTATCCTGAAGTCAAACCGGTTACATGGTCTCAGACAAAAAAATATTTTGTGTTCAAAAAACAGTTGTTCCTCATTTTTTTTCTTTATGGATCCTTGACTGCTCAGGGATGGCCGAAATACACAGATTGGAAGATCAATAACTCTGAATGCAGCAGATGGCCATAAGGTACGTTGGTACTGTAACTTACATCACAGCAGGGGCAGATCTCATCCACCCACCACCTTTAGTGGTTCTTCAGCTATTGCAGTATTTGCTGGAAGAGATGTACTTAGTATTACTCGTTGTACTCAACGTGAATTTTTCTCATCTCAAAATTCCCATGTTTTTATGTTTAAAGCTCTCTGTTCTAATAGATCTGAGTCCTTGCAGACTGCTGAGGATGACCTTTTTGATGGTAGTTACTAAGCAGAATATCAGTGGACAAGATCCTTCAGAAAGCTTCTGTTTACCTTTGTATATAATTGATAGAAAAAAACTCTTCTTTCTTGAAAAACTCGTAACAGAACATACCATGGGCCTTGTAAAAGAACATAAAAGCCAAGTCTTCTGCTACTCAGACTGCAACTTGAGCAGCCCCAGAGGCACAGCTGAGACCACTCTTGTGCCCAAGTTGTAGCAGTTAGGGCTTCTCACATCCAGTTCCCCACATAGTTGATTTAGCAGCCTTGATTCTTTTTTTTCAGTTTAGCATCATAGAACTGATAGACTCACCCATAATGCAATTAGGTGAGCACCTAAATAGAAGCCCTTGGAGGGTTCTTCGTAAATCTAGTGATGTTTTTCTGCATTCTCTCACAGGCAGCTGTGAAACTACTTTACTAGGGAAGGTGGTTTCCTATTTTCTCCCACCGTATTAGAAATTACTGCTCCTGCTTTGGGGCTGCAACTCTCTCCATGGGGAGATTTGTACTCACACATTTAATTTCCCTGTATCACATCTCTGTACAGAGTGACTTTTCATGAACGGTAGCCTTTTACTGAGCATTGTGTAGTTCAGAACAACTGCTGCTGTATGCTTTGGTTTTACAGATGGTTTCTGCTCTTTGGTTTCAAGATTCAGATGAACTTTTTTTTTTTTCTCTTAGTGAACTTGTATGGGGTTAACTTAGCATCTGCAACTAAAAAAACATTTACTAACCTGACTTGGACCTTTGAGCTTTCTCTAATCCAAATCACAACCTAAAAGCATAGCACACTTGACTAAACTCTGCTTATAGCTGTATTTTTTTGATAAAAAAGCAGCACCTTAATCTACAGCACTTTCATTTTTCTGAGTAACAAACACCGAGGGGCTGTGGGTCTGCTTTTTTTAGAACCATCTTTGTTCACATTGCTCACAGGAAGGAGATGCACACAGTGTACAGACTAAATATACTTTTTATTAGCAAGGCTTTTAGAGTACAGTCTTGCATCCAGCAGCTTCACTGAGCATGGTTCCACACAGGCTGAATTAACTCACACACCCCTGGAGCATCTCAGTTTCCACTGACTTCCTGCCTTTCCCATGTCTGTTTGGGAAGCCACTGCCCTGGGCAAAGCTACCGGGACTTTTTCCCTCAGACTGTTGAGATTCGTGTTCCATTTCTTTCCACCAGTGACAACCCACATCTCACTCCTGCCCTTACTTTCCATCTCTCAGGGCTGATGCAGCAGGGGGTGAGGGCAGGGCAGGCTTCTCCTGCGGCACTGCGCTAATTCCTGTGGTCTGAAAATGTGTTTCCCATCAATTTCACATTCGTCTGCTGACCACCATTCCTCAGTCAGAGGAATCAAATCACATTTCACACCAAGCTTCAGCTCATAGCTGGCATACCAGTCAAAGGCAGCTCTGAGGCCTACCTACACCACAACCAGCTCTCCTAACATCAGTTCTTTTGTACAGAAAATTCATCTTCTCCCCCTTACTTCCCCCCCATACACCTTGCCCTTCTCTTGCTTCATTCAGTGTGTGGAATCCCCAGTCATTTGGCCATACCCTGTATTTGAATCACAAATTGGCCTCATCTGACTGCACTCTGCTCATTCTAGTATCTTCATTCCTAAACCAAACAGCAACACACGTGTATCATCTTCCTTACTGTTATACCCCTCACACCTCCTCTTAACAAGTTTTGATGACCACCATCACTACATTCCAATATCCCTACCATTTCTGTATCTCCCCAGCCAGCAGCATGCCCCACCATTTGCTTTAACACTGTTTGCACCATTCCACCTCATCTCTGACCCTCAGAATCTCTCTTTCTCAAGCATTAGTTGCAGCACCAGATCAATATAATTTCCTCCTCCTGAACACCATACAATTTTGCCTCACCACATATAATTTGACTTGAAAGACCAAAGGAAGTGGAGAACCCTCATCTGCCATCAGTTTTCACACCTGAAGATGAAACAAGGTTTGTATGCAAGCCTTGGGAAAGTTTATCATCTCATCAAAACTGAGGTTTTACTCACAACTCAAAGGAGAATCTAGTTCAGCTGACAGCAGATACCATCTATGTGTTATGTTTACACTGAACTTCTAAAAAAGGATATGACCTAAACGTACTTCAGCAAAAGCAGAAATAGTGAAGCCTGACGCACTGTAATGTTTACTTGGTACCTCAAGCTCCAGCTGCCTTGCATGAGAGCAGGAAGCGTGGGTGAGTGAATATAAATCTTCAGCTCATTTAGAACAGGAAATCCACAACCAGAGCATCAGATCTAACAGGAATGGGCAATACCAGAGCAATGACTTTCCAAAATTTTGCCAAACAGATGTGAGGCGACAGGATTTTGAAAAGGAGCACCTCAGCGTTCATACAGCTGGTCCTACCATTAAACATGAAACTCTTCCTTTTGCTCAGGTCATCCCCTTGAAAGTCTACAAATCTTTCACTTCCTTTCCTCTAGAATTGTGGACAACATTCTAATTTATATACCAAGTTTTAAAAAAAAAAAATGCCAGGATTCTGTACTGTTTTTTTAAATAGATGCAAGTCCACAGGGGCATCCAGGAACTATGCTAAATTTTAGTTGGTTGAAGCATCCACCACAGGCAGTATGGTTGTATACATGCACATTGCCACTGATCTCATCATGAAGAGATGGGGGAGGAAAATGTAAATTTATTGAATTTCCAGTAAGAGTTGGGCTTAATATGCCCTTTAAGTAAGAAATTATCACTGCTATAAAGTCACTAGCATGCAGACAGGTGCAACATGATATCAGGGCACTAAGCCTGAAACATTTCAATCTGCATTGACAAAACCATCCCTGGAAGAGTGCTTAGCCTTACTGCAATCACTACTTCAACCCAATCCTTGTTCCTTACACCGAATGTGTGATTTCACATTTCCTAGTGCAATTCAGGCTTTGAGGATTAGCTCAGACATCTTACAAGTGTACCATATTACCCCCCAAAGACAGTACTGTCTTGCAGAAAGAGCTGTTTGTAAAGCAGTGTCTAACTTTGTCACCCGGTGTCACCAAAGCCTTCCTCTGTCAATGGCATTTCAGATTCCTTTGTTTCTGCTCAACAGACCAGGCATTGTGGTAACCTCAAACAAAGCATGCATTCATGCATTCTCTTCCAGGTTGTGCAAGGAAAATGAATATCCAGAAAGTTCTTCCGCCAGTGTGGCTACTATGCTCCCATCTGGCTCTAACCCTCACCAAATAATCCACACTGGTAACAGAAAATCAGAGCCAAATGGTTCTAAAATATTAGCCAAGTGAAAAATGTAACAGCATAAACCTTACAGAGGATGGGAGCCCACTACGCTCTAACACCGTGTGGGCTCTTTTTGCACCTATAGGCTTTTAAGTTTACGTTGCTCAGATTCTTTACTGCTTTCTTCTATTGTTACTTACTGGTCATTACTTGTTAATTAGCATGAAATCATTGGGAGCTGAAAGATTTCACACCCTTTCTTTGTCTCTCAAGAGCAAGTTACCTAAAAACAAGGTAAATTCCTTCTCTCTCCAACTGCCTGTGCAAGACAGGCCTGCCTCAAAGTCTAGGTCTGTTCAATGCTGTAGGAAATTAAACCAAGTGCTCCATTTTTCTGTCTATCATCTTTTTCCCAGTTTAAATGTTGCAAGAGAAAAGCTACAGCCATCTCCTTCTACCAGACTGTTATTTTTCATTAGGCAACCATCACAAAGAAATTAATTGAAGAGTGCCTACACAAGAGGCCGCAAGGATAACATGACACCTCCCAACAACCCCTGCAGCATTGGGGATCAGGGACCCATAGCTGTGGGATGCTCTCTGGTGTCCTTTACTCAGCATATAGGCCCTGTTTGCAACCTATGCATCTGGGTCCAACACTCTCTCCATATGTTCAGCAGAAAACCAAGGCTGCTAGCTCCAGGCAGTGCTTCCTCTTGAGGTAGAACAGCCTGATGTTACTGTGGATTTCTGCACTTGCCAAGGTAAAATGAAGCCAATCCTGGCAAATTAAGCAGAAGTTCATCCATCAGCCACTGGAAGCCAACAGAAACCATGCCATTTGTTACCATCCACCTAGGTACCTTCATTCAGAACTGCCTATCATTAAATAATCACATACTAGGAAACCTACTATGACACATCTTAGTCCCAGTTCAACACAGTTGGAAACTAATTAATCTTAGCAATAGTTTTGGAGATGTATTCAGCATTAAAGAACCCAGAACAACTACAAAAGACATTTTCCCACCAGCCTATTAGAAAACACTTAGCATGGTTATTGCACCATTAGAAGTTCTATAAATCTAAATAAAATTTCTTCAGCTAACAGTTATGATCTTTCTGCATATTAGTAATAAAGCTTCAGTAATAAGCAACCTTTTTTTAATGTACAGTATTTGAAAACTTGCCTTCCTCACTGAAAGAAATGCTGAAGGAAGCAAAGTTTCCCTTTGGGAACTATTATGAAGAAAGGAAATTTAAACACATATATTAAATGTGTATATATTTGAGAACTGAGAGACAACATGTTTCCCCCAAAGGTACCTATTCGGTGCTCCCATCTAATCCACCACAAATGCAGCGTGATCCAATTCTTTAGGGAAAGCTGTCCTACGGAAAAGCTATCCTAACTGCATCAACTTCTGCATATCTTTTTCTCACAGCGTATCTAGGAGAGAAACGGAAACCTCACCAAGCAGCCAAAGTCAGAAACCCAAATGTCTGGCTGAAACTTCAGAACTGGCAATTTCTAGAAAAAGAAAACAAACAAACAAAAAACAGGGTGCCTTTTTGGAACACCTTCAGTTAAAGGCTTTTATTATTATTTTTCTTCTTCTACTGACAGCCTAACAAGAGTTACCACCGAATAAACTCCTCTGCCAAACTAAAGGATCTCCTGAATTTTCATCTTAGAAATACTAAGGAAAACAGAAAAGCAGCTAAGGCTCAAGATGTTGTAAATGCTGTTGTGAAATACACCTGTACAAAGAATAGAACAAATACCTCTGACCATATTTCCCTCACTACAAACACAGCCAATTAGCAGATGCAGCAGCTGAGGATGGAGATTCGGCCAGTCAAGAGCTTTTATCCTTCTGGCCAAGTTTTTAAGTATATTGTTTCCTGTGTTTTGATGGCATTTTGTTTCATGTAATGAAGGCAAGTACTCTGATGTGCTGCAATATGCTCTGCTTGGCCACTTATACAAAACTGAAGGAATTTAATCACAGTGTAGAAATATTCTCAATATGTTAATTGCAATAAGATTTTGTAAGCAAGTATTAAGCAGTTCTAAAATATCCAGTTCTATTACCTGCAGCCTAAAATCTAGCACTTCAATGCTAATTCATAGTTAAATTATTGGGTAGCACAGATTTAGGATAGATGTATATATACAGTTCTCACTAATGAAGGCTAATTATAGAATCTCAATTGAATTATCAACAAAATAAACCTAGAATAATTAAAACCAGTCCAAATGTCACTATTAAAAATACCTCCACCACTGAAAACGTACAGCTGAATTCAATTGTGTAGGCAATAAAGCAAATACAAAGTCTGCCCTCCTTATACTTCAGCAATTATCTCTAAAATTTGTCAGTAGTAGCATCACTTCATAAATAATTTTGGATTTCCATTGAAAAAAAAACTCACTTTAATCCTCACATACTTCAGCCTTTTTGACTTTAACTTCTGTGATCCAAGCCTGATTACCTTCCTCAGGTACATAAAGGCTGACGGTAGGCACAGAACTCAGTAATTCAGCTGGCACAGAAACAGGCATTTGTCACTATAGGTATCTATAACTTGGGAAAGTGAGCTGGGATACCAGCAAGCACTGATAGTTTCAGACCAAGTCTAAACCTCGTTTCAGTTTTAAAATCTACTTAAGTTCTGATATGAAGATTTCAATCACGCAAATACAATACCTTACATGAACATGACATTCTTTAACACAGAAAAGGGCTAATGATAAACTAAGAGTCTACCCAGGTTATTCTGCGAATTAACCCGTTCTAAGTGTTTGGTAATGAACTGAAGCACTGGATTTGTGAGTTCTGGAATAACAGTGAGCTGATGCTTACTATAGCCAATAATTCTAGAGCAAGTTCAAACAAAAATCCAACAAATGAAATCTAGACCTTATGTTATGGAGGATAAATGTAAAACTTCAGAGGTAGTTACACGTTAAATATTTATATCTTACAGCAAACTGTAAGCCTTCGTACAAAGTATGGTCGTTGTTTGTTTTTTGTTGTTGTTATGCTGGCTATAGGATATAATCCTTTCCCATGACATTTTAAAAATATGCAGGCTGCAAATAACCAGTATTTGGCCAAATGGGAAATACTACCACCTATCACCCACCTTCGTCACTCAAGTGATCCCAGTCTTCCTGAGCTAGGAGGCAAAAAGCTGAAAAGCTTTCTCATGTAGTCTTTTGCAGCGGTACACTAAATATTCATTATACTGACACTGTAATAAGAGCACTTACATCAGTACTTTATTTTTGTTTATGTTGGTGAGTTCTCTCAGAACGTACATATCACCGCAGGGGAACATCTCACGTCACGTCTTTCTCTACTCACCAAAATCTAGGCATTGCATGAAAAAAACATTAATGGATTGTCAAATCATGCACTGAAGATTAAACACGAATGCCTATTCTTTTATTCTAATTACCAAATTGGGTCACTTGGGACTCTCTTGGGACTCTCTCTGCTTACGGAATATCCTTTGTATAGTAAAGACCATTTTGTAAGTGCTCATTCCAAGTATTACTATGGCAAATAAATAAAATTCCCACTTCAAAAGGCTCCAAATTTGCTCTGGGACCAAGCATCACTTTCTACTAACAGCCTTCTGCTTTTTGAAGTTAATTTCAGGATAGGAATATTTTGTCAAGCTTGACACTGAAAGATGAACCCACACTGGCAGGCATTGCTTTTCCCAGAGGAAGTCTGCTCTTTCAGCTGAGCAAGAGATGACAGGCAGGTCAGTAAGAGTTAGTCTCATTTTCTGTTTCTCTGGAATTAATTCCAGTAGATAGAGATCAGTTGTAACAGCAGATCAAATCTTTGCATTTTGAAAAGGAAGTATTATGGTATCAGCATCCTTTATCAAACAATACAAGCACAGGTTACTTGTATACAGAAATATGACTGCTAACAACTTTTGCTGTCAGTGAGTGTTTTGTTAGACTAAGTCTAGTTCCATATGTGAAAAGTTTCTAATGCCTTATTTATGGTACCCCATCACCTCCTCCATCCTCACTTCCCATCAATTCATGTTTCTTCTTTTGTCTTATTGCCAAGCATCGTGCAATGCCCAATGCACCTCCTTTCAGAAACCGTACAAAGTTGTCTCCCACCAGGGGACCTAAAGCAAAGAGGTTTGCTTCTTTAGTGCATTCGTATGTATATGGATCTATCTCAATAGGATTCCCTTTGCACGTGATGGGCTGATTTAAGTGATGTCCTATGCTATGTCCTTGGTCCTTTAAAAAGAAGAGATTTGGGTGAGAACCTATCAGAACTAAGGCTACAGAAAACTTCAAGATTTTCTTCAGTCCAGAGGCACTCTGAAGAACACATTTCATTTCAGGCTTAAAGGAAAGTACATTGTGTTCAGGGAAACTAGTGTAAGGAGAATGCAGATGAGAGTCCCCAGTATGTGACTGAGTGCACATCATATGATAGACCTTATGGTACTCAGGGTAAAGCTTTTTAGGCAATTGTTTGAAAATCAGACTCGAATCAGTAACTCTTCTACGAAACACATGAATTACTGGGATGTTGTTATTGTAGGCACACAGTACTGCATCAGCTGCAGTAAGTCCAGCACCCACAATTAACACAGGGTCTGCTTTCCCACGTAGCTTTCCTTTGCTTACAGCAGCTCCGAAGTCAGACATGGAATGAAGGACAAAAGGAAAATCTTCACCTTCAATGTGCAGTCGGCCAGGAGAGTCAAAGGTTCCCGTGGCAAGAGCCACGTTCTCAGCAAAGAGGCAGAAGGGCACATGAGAACCATCTGTTGCTCGCTGATAACCTCTGACTTCCCAGTTTCGCTTCATCAGTGGTTTCTGTCCATCTTCCATTTCCAAATGCTGCGTTGGAATATTTTCATTCAGCTGACTTCTATCTTCATCATCTCCTCGGTAAAGTCTGGATACTGATGTTATGTAAACATTGTCCCTGAAGTTTTTTTGGAGGCCCATGACTTTAACGTAGTGTTTATAGTAACAAGCTATTTCCTCCGGCATTACTCGGTCACTCTTTATATTTCTGAAACAAAATTGAATGTTTCCAGTTAATATAAAGACCTTATCAATATTTTCAACATCCAACTATGATCTACGACACAACAGTCAGATTTAAGAGCACTGAATCTGCCCAGTGTAACTGATATGGAGTTCAGTATATTTAAACTCACTCAATTTGCTTTATTTGCTCTCTTGATTCCTGACATAAGAGACAAGCTATCTCTTTTTAAAAACAATGTAAATATTTAGTTATAATAAGTGCTAAGGTGATGAACAAATCAAAAAGAAAACTGCAGTATTACTTCGGTCTATATGGAAGTGTTTTACAACTCACTTTAACATCATGACCATCTACAGTAGAACACCAGCTAAAACAGCACTCAATGACCACTAAAATAAAGTAAATAAATATCATAATTGCTAAGAGCCAAATTTGAAACTGTAGGTTCGGTATATTGTAAAGTGCAATGAAGAAAAGGGCTTAACTCAAACAAATCACTGTCCTGTGAGTACAGATAAGCTCAGTAAGTTTCAAATTAAGTAGCTCTGTAACAGAGAATTAAATCCTACCTGAGTGAATAAAGTATCACACTGAACCTTAATACACATTTGAACAGGATTACAATGACCAGATGTCCAAGAAAAAGCATTCTTGCACTGGAATCCTGATACTATCTTATGTTTGACCTATTTACAAAAAATTTAAACTGTCTGAGAAATTGAATGAATCTGTTTGCTTCTTTAGAAAAAAGCTCCAGGAAAAGCCAAAAGAAACAGTAGCAAATAACAGGTTATCCACTGAACTAAGCTGAGAAGCGTGTTTACATGAGACTGGGTTGCTTATTCTCAATGGTTAAAAAGATAGTATACGTGCTTTCAGTTTAGGTTACTACTCTGAAAATCCTAATGAGGTATTTAATGGATAGGATGAATGTCAGTGTGACACCTGCTATAACAACACCATTTCATATGACTGTAAGCATTAATTATCACTGATATTTCTAATTATGCCTGTTTAACTGTAGTGAAACAGTTCAGCATTTCTTTTTATAGTATTGTTGAAAATTATAATATAAACAAATTAGCTCCAGATAATAAGTAGCTTATGGGATTTCAGTTAATGACAGTAATCTTGTCTCCTTATTATCTAAGAAAGCTATTACAGAACAAAGGTACAGTTTCTTCATTTTAAGTGTTGTCCTGAAATGAGTAACACTGCTCTTAAAGACATATGCCCAAGAAATCCTTCTACTTTTTTGCCCTATGTGTCAAAACAACTTCCTTTCATTTTGCTAGAACAAAGTTAGGAAAAATTGTTTTAGAACAGGCTTAAGCAGAGCGCATCTGTTGACACAGATCTTTGGGAACTAATCGCAGCTTCAAAGTAAAAGCCAACAGATTGTACAAAACAGTGTTTTTGCTTTAACTTGCCTTCCAAGGAACTTAGTACAAGAAAGTAACTTTGGGAAGCAATGAATTATTCTCTTAAAAGTACAGTTCATAGACTGTAACATTTCAGATGCTACAGCTTTGTCTGTGAAGTAAATACTGAGAGGTACGGACTTCCTGAATTGCAAGTGAGTATCCACAGCAACTTAAGTTACTCAAGTTAACATCCACATTGAAAGAGGAACTTCTGGTATACTTTGGTAGGTTTTGAATGACTGAATCAGCTTACAGTAACAGCACTTATTTGAGAAATGTTCAAACACATCACTGTTAGAACACATACATATTTTGATGCACTGAAAGCCATCGTTCTGGCCAACTGCTGTCAATTTTCTTCCACCAGAGTACATAAATCATTTCCAGTGCCATTAGGCAATTTAATAAACGAAAGAAGTTTTCCTGTAAAGAATGAAGCTCAAATATTTTCCAGTTCTTAAAACAGTTACCTGCATTCTTACAACTTATTTCCCAGTACTTTAGGCAGTATCTTTACCTGCGCTTGCTAGCTGCCCACTCCTTGAAAGTGAGTCCAGGCAGTTCCATCCAGTCTCCAAAACTGATTGTTAGCATAGAGCCTTCCATGGCCTAGGGTGGAGGAAAAAAACAAAAAAACAAGATGACCAGATACATTCCTAATAGATACTTTTATGTGAAACAGCAAAGTTCTTCTCACTGTATTCCTTCAGACCGACATAAAAATAGAGCATAATACATCTGAAGAAATATTTTTGCCCTACAGTTAGATGTTTTAATGAGCAACTATGTGATCTAAAAAAGTAGAAAGAGAGGACAAGCAAAAGGGAAAATAAAGGTTACTTAAAAATATTGTTATTTGAAACAAGAAAAAAAGATTAAAGCAAAGGATGCAGCCAAAATCTTAAAGATTTAAGATTTTGTATAATTGCACCTGAAAACAACATGAGAAAAGTTAGAGAATAACCTTTGTTATAATTTAAAATAATAATAAAGACAGCAGTTATGGCCACAATCCCCAAAATTAAAGAATAACTTATCCCTCTGCCAATCTTTAACATACTTGACCTTTGATAATGGAAACTGCAATTGCCATCATTGACATTTAAAACAGCCGTTCGAAGAAAAGTCCCAAACCACAAAATTGTCATGATATGAAATGTTTACTCACATGCCAAGCCCCACCAGGTGGTCCTTTACCAAGCACTACATGGGGAATATAATTATGCTGTTCCAGCTTCCAGTGCAAAACAGATGGGTAGTCATACCCAAAGTCAGCTTCAGGATGAAGGAGTGTATCAAAGAGCACTGCAACTGGGTTTGAAGAGCGTCCCTCCAGGCCTTCAGACAGGTACTCTAGATCCTGAAGCAAGAAAGTTAAATTTTATATATTTACCTAACTTTTACTGTTTATCATACTGTTCTGATGTACAGACATTGAATTTGATACGCAGAAAATACAGTCAGTGGAAGTTGCATTTTAAGTATTTTATAGATAAACACAATCAAAACAGTTTAGAAATAACTGCTATGATTTACTCCTGTAACTCTGAATATAGTACACATGCCTCATTTGAAAATAACATACTACTAATGCAGGGCTAGGTGGTGTTTTAAAAATTGGGACAAAGAGAACAGAGCAACCTGGTAACATTTATACTTACTGATACTGCACTGCTTTTAACAGAGAATCACTAGTGTTTCCAGTCATGTAACTTCAACACATATCTGAAGCATGTTATCAGCATGTGGTGTTCAGCCTTAAACCACCACACAGCTGCACCCAAACATTCTAGGACACGAGAGCTGGAAGGCCTGCATCAGCTCCTCACTGACATAGTGGTGCTTTTGACGCTTCTGGCAAGCGATAATATCATTACAAAAGGCAGATTGTAAAACCCCAAAATACCACAAACAAAAAGATCTCTAGAGCCACAAAACAAACCACCTTCACAAACATAGCAGCCTTGGATCATGAGCCTCAGATCATTTAAATCAACAGAAGCATGTTATCACTGCACTGGAAACATGATTAGCTAAGCAGGCTACTTCTACATATTTTTCTGCAATCTGCTATTTATTTATTTATATTTAAGATAATTAACTTACATTTAAGATAAGCAGTTCTCAGAACGTACCATTTTTCATCTGGAAGAGCCAAATATATAATCTGCTAATGAGACACTGAAGAAGGTATGCGCTGCCCTTCAGTTTGCAGGTAAGAAGAGCATAGGTCAAGTGGTAAAGCTAGTTGGCTGAGGCCACACAGCTACTTGAGCTGTACTGTGGTCTCATTCTTTGCAGGATAAGAACATTAAGCCCTTTTTTCATCTACACACTACTTACGTAAGTTACAAAAGCATTTCAGATCGGCTCACTAAAGACAACTGTTTCATAATGTAGTTTGTAGGAAAAGAGCTGGACAAGACTGCAAAACAGGCTTACCTGATCAACAATGGAAAGATGCCGGGCTTCCTCTAATTTTGTGTGGAGAATGGGGTTTGGATGTACAGCTTCAGGAGACAAATACGGCCTGTATCCAGACAGTAGATATGAAAGACAAATTCCTGAAGGTCCATTTCCTATTAAAGAAAGAGGAAACTGCTTTAGAAACTTTAGGTTACTTCTACTAAGTAATTAAACAAGCAGCAATAAAGTTACAGTGAAGTGGCATAATGCATTACCATCCCAATTCAAAGCAACTTATAATTATCAGAGTAAAATAACATCTACCCTAAAACTTCTTCCAGATGAGCCAAGCACAGTTTTCAGGTAAGAAAAAATGTGTGTGACAATTAGCACTATGAAACAAAGTACATAAAGGGATTTCATATTTCAGCACGTCAAGTTCACTGTTCTCATGCAAATGATCTGATGGATAAGATCTGCTCTACTTGTCAATCACAGAAATACCCGAATATTTCCATCTTGCATTTTTGCATTCACACTTGAACTAAGTACTGTAAAACACAGAACAGAAACAAGCTGGGGAATATGCTCTTTAGGTCTTATAAAAGAAAAAAGATGAGCAGAAAGCTAAAATGATCCAAGACAATGAAATATCACACACACAGCACAACAAAGTAGATGCTGACACACATAGTACATATGTAGCACTGTACAAAAAACTTGCATCAAACCACATTCAGCATTATGCTTTACTGCAACAGTATCAACTCAAGCATCTTTTTGTTTTATGGCTTTCTATAATTTACACAAATCATTGCCATTAATAGATGAACTTATTTTATAAAAGGTGCAAAATGGATGGGGCCAAGACATTACTGTAAGGAAAGTGTTTGATTAGCATTAAATTAAGTACAGGATCACAATAACATATGAGTATAGAAGTAGTACTAATGTTGTGAAGTCAAATATAAAAATCCAAGGAAAGTTAATATCAGAAAAGTATGTGCTTTTCTACAGACTGTAAACATGTGACTATGTGCAGTTATTTCGATAGGTTTTCCTCATTAACTGAACAAAAAGTAGTGAGCAGTGTTCTCCCACTGAGACATTACTCAGTATTGTGTCTTTATTTTCTTCCAGAGGGGCACACGTAGCATTTACTACACACTTTAGATCTGATGCTGAAGTTACCAATTTATTCATGGTTCTACGTAGCACTCATCATTAAGATGCTAGATCTTTGTATTATTTTAACTCCTGATCTCAAGAGTTCATCCTTTGCTTCTTATTCCTCATTATCTTCACACACCCATTTGTATCTTGTATTTCCAATCTCACTCCGGCAGTGCATGTCTCCTCTTCCCACTTGCTGGATTTTTTGGCTCCATATTTCCCAACAAGTTTGCTCAGACCTCATCCTTCCTATTCACTCCCAGGTCTAGAACCTGAGTAAATAACCCAGGCTGCAGAGTGCCTCAAGGGCTCTTAACGCAGCTTTTGTGTGAATATATGGACATCAAAAAAAGTGTTAAAATGCCTGAGCATTGTAAAACCATAAAGCACTGGAAAGAATGAGAGAAAGAGGGCGAGTTCCCACCACAGACATCTTCTAGATGAAGTTCACCTTTCTGTACCTAAATATGAAGTGGATAACCAACTTCAAAGATCCCTGCAAAGCTCTGTTATTTGGATGAAAATAGGACCACACTGTGTTTACATGTTAAGATCAAAACCAGTGCACATGATAAAGCTTAGCACAGAACATTCTCTAGATGTTCTCTACCACAAAATTTACCAATTTTACCTCATTCAAACAGAATTTAACAGTTTCTTCCCATTCTCTTGAGCAAAACAAGAACAACACAGCAGTTACTTAATATTATCAGAGTAGTTTTGTACACCCTGAAGTATTAGAGTACACTGCACAGCACAAACCTAAGAATCTGATCTTAAATTGGGCATCATACAGGGGAGAAATGGAATGGTGAAGCTAAAGAGAAGGCAAAAGAAGTTGCTACTCCATTATGAAGTCACTAATGAACTATGCCATATTTTTCCTCCCCATTGTTAGAACAGTGCAATGAAAAGACAGCTCTAGGAAACTTAAAGATGTTAAACTCCACTTACACAGGAATAGCACACAAGATTAAGCCAGTAGAGATTCTATTTGTGCATACACATGTATGAGGGAAAAACAGTGGTGTTCCATAACATTACAGATCAACGTAGATATCTTTTAAGGCAGCAAACGAATTAGAGATAACATGCAGCTGAGGAAGATAAACTTGAGACATTTCTCAGATGTGTGTGTGAAATAACTTTCGGGTAACTTTTCCCCCTCCCAAGTAGAAATACTCAAAGCAGCTGTGTTTGGTATCAGCACAGAGGAAGGCACTGTAGACAAAGTAAGTATTGAGCACAGGTATTTGCATAACACATATTTGCAAAGCTAAACAGTGAAAACTGAGTCATTAGCCATATGGTAAACTTAAACGAAGGTTGATGAAATGCCAGGAAGCTGTTGCTCTTCAACTGTGATGCAGAATTTAGCAAGTGATTCACGTCTGTCACATTCATATAAAATACATTCCACGACCACTATTTTAAGCCATTGTGAAGAAAGCTTTGAGAACGTGCACTGTACAAACACTGATCTTTCTGAGTTGTGGAGATTTAACATGAATGTATGTTGAAATATCGTTCTTTGGAATTTCTCTGCCTGTTTACATGCACAATTAAAGGTGTTGATTTGCTATAGTCCTAACAGCTTTGGACTTCGGAGGTTTCTGAAAGCCTCTTTTATTTCAGATCTTTTCTTTAACCCTTCATCAACTCACGGCAGTAAGGAGCTAGTGAATAGCTGTTGCTCAAGAGCCTTGGCCCAATACAAACCAATTTATGCTGTGTACCCTGGGAGCCATCTTGTCATTCAGCAAGATTTTACAATTACAATCCTTTAACTGTTTCATCAAGACTACAACGCATTGTTCTCAACTGGCTGAACTGGCATGGATTGATTTAGTAAAAGATGGGACAACATTCAGATATTAGTGACAGATGCAACGGAGAAACCAATTAATAAACCAGGTTAACGTCTGGCCAATACACATAGCACACACTTTATATTATGCTTTTCACCATCCTGCATGACTCCACAAATTTTTAGTGCCACAGCATCAACAACCTCCATGCAAACTGATGAAGACACAGCACCATGTTAATCAAGCCCTTTGAGATCAATGCTTGAATCCAAGCAGTGCTGCTAAGACTCATCTATCTGCTGCCAAGTAATGCAGCTCCATTTGCCAGATCATCATTTCAATTCAAATGTACTCTGGTTGCAAGAACTTCAATATAATCTGATGGCACTGTTGTTAATCATAATAACTCTTTTTGTAATAAGCACCTTCACTGTAAGGATGTTAAGCATTATTCATTTAGCGATAAATGACTTCACACAGCAAGCCTATAAAGGGAATGGTAGCAGTGGAGAATTTTGAGTCAAAAAACTCACCTATTATTACCACAGGCAGAGTAAGAAGAGAGTCTCCAGGCAGAACAGTTTCTTCTAATAAAGGCATTCTTTTTATCTTCTTCCCAAGGCTGTCACCAAAATACTGGCCAAAGGAATTCAGAAGCTGTCCTTCAGTTTCAGAGCTGTTGTAATTCCTAATTGAGAAGGACAGATGGAAGAAAACTGAAAATATAACAGTTGTACTGGAGTCAAAACAATCTTGTCAAAATAAAGTTGCTTCTAATGCTTTATTTGAAGAGCTACAAAATTAACAAAAAATAGACTAAAATAGATATGTTTCATCCAGTCTACAGAATTTTACTCTCCAGAACAGTTTTCTAACAGTAAATCCAAGTCCATTTTCTCCTAGGAAGTCTATAGCAAGATAATAAAAAGGGACAGATGGCTCCACAGAGACACAGATTTCCAATTCAGTTTATACAAAACCAACGTATAACCAACGAGCATTATTTTGATCCACCACACAGAAAAGCTCACTTTTCATTACCCCCATCAGAAGTGGAGACACCCCCCACCTAGCCCACAAACAACAATGAGACCAACCAAAAACTGAGTGAGAAGCTAAGATGTATCAGCAGCCCCTTACATACTTTCCTACCTGCCGAACAGCACACAAGACTTTACACCAACACTTTCTTGATCAGGTAGATGCAAACCTAAAAGTCAGCAGTGGTGTGAAAAATTGAGAGACTGCAATTTCTAGTAACCCTAGGTGCATCCTATGGTGGTTTTAACCACATTAAGGAAGTCTTTTACAAAAGGAATCAAACAACAAACTTAATGCAAGTAATTACTGTGCACCAATAGGTTAGCTGCTGCATTGCAGACTGCTCCCACCACTTGTCATCTCCTTAATTTGTCAGCTTTCTCTCTGCAACACCAAGCTAGCTTCCTCTCACAGTTCTTCATGCTCTACATATACATCTATGCTAAAGACATGTTTTAAACTGCTTGCCTCTTAATTATTTATGAGCACCTACTCAAGTTTTCCAGGTCACTGAAGAAGCAAACATTTCATCAGCTTAGCTTAAAAGGCAATGGCAAATTAAAAATCTGCTTTTATTAAATCTTTAAAATGCTCAACTCCTCAATTAAAAACGTCCCAACCTATCAGCTCCCTTGGCCTGAGGGGTCTGCTGGATGCTCCCAAAGCCTGACAGAAAACTGAAGACTGAGCTGCACAGCAGTACCAGCACTGTCACCCAGCCCCGTGACAGTCACTTCTTGGTTAAAAAGGGGGAAGCCATTCTGAAATTGTATTTACTTCTGGAAGTGAGAACTTCACATGTGCATTTCCTGTATTACAGGAAAAAAAAAAGTTGGAAATCAGTGACTTCACTGAATTACAGCTGTGCGCTGGCTTGTCACAATAGGTGTGCATTAAAGCCCAAACTGCAAGCTGAAGTGAATAGAGAGGGTATTTAACCACCACACTGCTTTTTTAGGCAGGTACAGGTAGGCTCCGCTACCTGCCAGCCTGCACTCCGAGCTCACTACGGCAGCAGTGCTCTGTGCTTTGCAGGTGGACTGGCAGAGAGCAAGGGGGTTCAACACACCCTCCTCGCAGGATGGAAGGCTGAAACCGGCTGAAAATCTCTCTTGCGCAGCACAGAACTGTGCAGATCTGCCTGCACACACAAGCAGCTCCTCAGCTATCACGTGCACGAAGCAGAAGCAGTGCGCATCAGACGCGCGTCCTTGCTTCTTAGGAACAGCGCGGCAAAGCTCGGGAAGGTCCTGAATTAGGATGGCGGAGGTGGCCGCCCCTGAGCCGCGAGCAACGGCCCAGCAACAAGCACCAGGTTTCGCATCCAGCTCTGCATGGCGGGGACCGGTATCAGCAGCCCGGCCCAGGGCCTGCGCTCAGCCCCCAGCCGGGGATCCGCAGCGACGCGAGGCTGCCAGACCCGGTGCTGGCGCTTCGCTCTTGATTATCAGTTATTCGCAATTAATTATATTTCTAAAGGAAGCGTGGGAAAAGAGCAGGAAAACACATACCATACGTAAACGCTATCTTCCCCGGGAAGAGAACAAACCGTTCGCAACAGCTGCCGTTATTTCCCTCCAAGTTACTAACGGAGGAGCCTTTCTTACGGAGCAGTTCCCAAAGCCCCTGCAACGCTGTGCATAGCAGCAGGCTGACCGCAGCGCGCGGCTGACGGACATCTCGTCACGCACACACGGCTGATACCCGGTGCCAAGCGCACATCCCGCCGGCGGGCTGCTCTTATCTCCCGGCGGGGTCGCGCGGTGCCCGGAGCGGCACCGTGAGCGCCGACGGAGGAGGAACGGCGCACGGCCCCGCGCGGCGGCGGCGCTGCCCGGCTCGGCGCTGCCCGGCTCGGCGCTGCCCGGCTCGGCGCTGCCCAAGGTGACCGCGCGGCTGGGGCGCCCCTCCATCCCGCCCCTCGCTCCACACGTCTCCCGCGGAGGCCGCGGCCCCGGCGCCGCGCCGCCCCTCACCTAACGGGACCGGCCAAGGAGCAGCGGCAGCACCACACGGGCATGGGGGGCTCCGTCGGGCTCGGGGCGCCGGCGGGGCCCGGCGGCGGGGCTGCTGGGGGACGTCGCTTCTCGGCTCCCGCTCCTCCTCCTCCCGCCGTCGCCACACTGGGGCCGCGCCGCGCCTCCTCCCCGCTCGCAGGCGGCCGCGGGTCACACGCGGAAGGAGGAGCCGCCGCCAGCACCGGGAGGGAGGAGCGGGAGGAGAGCGAGGAGGAGGGCGCGCTTCCTCCTGCCCGCCCCGCAGGGGGATGCGCCGCCACGGCCGCCCGCTGAGGGAGCGGCCGGAACCCTTCGCCCAACGGTGGGGGAAGAAGGACGCGTTCAGCGCCCCGCGGGGGACGGGGAGAATCGTCCTCCAGCGAGCCCCCAGAAAAAGATGAGGCCCGCTCCCCACCGCGGCCATACAGCCGCCCGCAGCCCCTCCCCTGCCGCGGATGTCCCCGCCCTCCCTGCAGGCCGCGCCACCTCCTCCGCCGGCGCGGGCACACCTGTGGCCGCCGCGAGGAAGCGTTGAGGTGCGGAGCGCGGTGCGTTCCCGATGCCCCGGGCCTGGCGCTTGAACCCGTTAGGCCTTTTGTTGTATCGCGGGAACCGCTGTTGTGGTTCCGCAGGAAACTTGAGAGAAGTTTCCCATCTTCGTGCTCAGTTTTTGAGTCAAGAGCCACAGCAGTTGTGTTTGGAGAAGGAAGTGCTTTCCTGTTGCTGAATTGACCCAGTGCTGCCATGCCAACAGCTGTCACAGTGATCTTACAGCCCCGTGTCCTGTCCTGTATTTCCTTCTGTGGTAAAGTCAGGTTTCACCTGCGCTACTTCAGCCTGGAGGAAAGGCTGAGGGGAGACCTCATTGCAGCCTTTAAGGGAACTTGTAAACAGGAGGGAGTCCTACTTTTTGCATAAGAAGATAGCGATAGGACCTGGGGAAATAGCTTTAAACTAAGAGGGGAGACTTAGGTTAGATGTTAAGCAGAAATCATTTATGCAGAAGGCAGTGAAGCACTGGCACAGGTTACCCAAAGAAGCTGCAGATGTCCCATCCCTGGAGGCATTTGGGATTAGGTTGGATAGGGCTCTGGGCAGCCTGAGCTGGTGGGTGGCAGCCCTGCAAAGCAGCAGTGGATTGGAACTGGATGGGCTTTAAGGTCCCTTCTAACCCAAGCCATTCTATGATTCTGTGCAAATGTACATGTGGGTATTAGCAGAACAGAAATCTAACAGAATATAATCTAATTATATTACAAACTTTGTAGGCACCGTTTGGCTAATGTCCATCTACATCTGAATGCTTCATATATTTAATGGTAGCTAAACTGTATTTTTGTCATTGTAAATGTTTCACAGGTGTGCATGGTTGGGAGAAGTCGTATATTTCTCCTCCTCTAATCACAGAGTATTTGAGGTCAGTGGGATGTTGGGAGTTCCCCATGCCCAGTCCCTGCTCAGAGCAAGGTTACCTGCAGCCCGGGACCACATCCAGCTGGTGTCTCAAAAAATTGACAGCACAGGCAAATTTTTGAAGGTCTCCGAGGGCAGAGACTTGACAGCATCTCTGAGCAACCTCCCTGGGTGTTGACCAACCTCACAATGAAATGTGCTTCCTTCTGTGCTAGTTTAATTTCCTGTGTTTTGAGGAGATAGAAAATCTTGATGTAAAATCTCTTTTTAGCAAGTACAAAACACATCCAATGAAACGCACTGCTCTTCACATTTACTTAACAGTGCTTGTCATGCATCTTTAGACCAGAATTAAGAAGATGAAGCTGCTTTTAGCTTTTTTTTCTTTTTTTTTTTTTCTTTTTTTTTTTCCTCAAAGGATTTTAAACAGAAACTACCTTTAAAAACACAGTGTTTTCAGTTCAGGAGAGTACATGAAGAACTCACTGGTTTACCAGATAACACCCACTTGAATAATTCATCTTGTTTTATTAACATTGTGTCCTTCATTGCAACAAATTAGAGAAAATATACAACAGAAACCTCATGTTTTGAGAAAATTAGCTATAGCAGAAAGTTTTTCAAGTGTCTCTACGCCATCTGACAGTAGGGTCAGATGACATTGATTTTGAAGCTGACACATGAAGGACGTACTCAGCTTTAGGCATCACACAGCCTTTGGTCACAGCCTCCTCTGTCATTTCTGCCCATCAGCAGATCTGGCCATCTAGAATATAACTCACAATTTCAGCTAGACTGGCATTATTATTAATTTTTGCCCTTCTCCTTGTGGAAATGATTTTGAGTAGAGGAGAAAAACAGCCGCCCCTGTGTCCACACCTACAGATACGTGTTTTCCCAGCACACTTTTACATTTGAAATGGAAAATGTTTTGCTGGACCTTCAGTTTTTAATACAAAAGAGGTAGATTGGATAAGCAGCATTTTATAAACCCATCAAAAACTCATAGATCTTCTCTGGAAATAGTATTCTGCATTGACAGTTATAATTAATTACATGATTTTCCCAGAAATAAAATTTTATGTTTCCTTGAAATTCTGAATTTTAATATGGCTGTCTCAAATGTCTTGGTTTTTTTTGGTGGTGATTTATTTTAAATCTGTGATTGCATCAGGATAAGGTATGTTTCCTTCAGATGTGACTTTGTCAAAGTGAAACACAATTAAAAACTAAGGAAACAACAAGTGAGAGTGGAATAAAACATGCCAAGCCATAGAAAATATCCTCCCATATACAACCAGTAATCACACTTCAAGGGGATTTACATGTCCTGTTCTGCTCATTTCTGTTAATGCACTCAGGCAGTTACTGTGTACTAGTTGTATTACAATTCTCTACATCTTAAATCATGTTAACCAACTTGAAGTTCCTGTATGTCATTAACACTCAATAAAATTGTGCATTTGCTCAATACATAATTTTTAGAGTATTAGAAGATCGTTCCCCCAAGTGATCAGTAAGTCATTATCAGTGTGTGGAATATCACTTTTTGTTAATCACAAGGTTATTTTCAACATTATTTTTTTTTTTAACCCAAATCTTCTTGTTGTGTACATGTAGTACCAGCTTGACACTGCTATATTCCTGAAAATCCTTTGGGCCCACAAGATGGAAGCATCAGAGCATGGGACTGGTATCTCAGTGGAACATGAGACACATGACCTGGAACAAGAGGGCTTTGTCCTCTGTGGCAAAAGCAGTAAGATCAGGGAGTAACTGAAGAAGGCAACCTGCTGGTTGTAACACAGCATGGAAAACAATATGTTGGTAAGATTTCTGTGCCTCCACCCAGTGCAATATGAGATTAAAGTATAAATGGAGTAGAAAATAGAGCTGTAAAGCTTCCAATGTCACTATAGGAGAATGATCAACCCTGTCCTGATAAATAATGCAGTATCTCAGTGCAGAGCTTACTCAGGGCAGATGTCTCATTGATGACAAACCTGTTCCCTGTAACATCAAATGACTGAAAAATGTATGAACTGCAAGGCCCAGTAAGCTACTGTGTAATGAAACATTTTCAGAGACAAGCAAACAAGTTTTGCTGCAAGTCTGTAGCAAAATTTCTACTCAGCCTGATGCACCAAGTCCTGAAGAAAGTTGTGAAGAGATTAGGAAGGCTTCAGGTTGTTTGCTTTTATATTATTAAACAAGATAGCAACTGAGAAATCTAGCTGTAAGACAAGTCTCTGCATGGCCGGGGAAAAATAAAGAGGAGTCTCAATCAAGAAGCTATGTTGCAAATAGGACAGATCCTTCCAAAAAACCTAGTACTTACTAAGAGGGACAAATACGAGACATGGAGCTTAAAAGAACAGGTCTGACAGCTTCCTGGGATCTTTTCGCAGCCTGGTTTTCTTCAGAAGTTTCCCAGTACTCATAAAGTAGTACTTGCTTGGAGAATACAGGCGCAGTAAGTTGTGTGTCAAAGAATTAATAACACAAAGAAAATGACATGAGCGTCTTTAATGGCCTTTTTTTTTCTTTTCAGAGAGAAATGTGGCTGAACATCTCAAAAGGAGCCAGTATATTATTCTGGGATATATCAGGATATGAGAATTCTGATGGTATAAGGTCAAAAACTCTCAGCCAGTGGTAGACTACTTAGCTGTGACAGTGTCATATGCACACTGAATAGTATTTCATAATGCAGCACTGGGCTGCTTTGGAAGATGGACAAAGTGAGATTGGAAAAGCCTGTAAGATCATAACATGAGAAGCCTAAACGATCTCTGGAAAATAGAACACTTGGAAGAAATTAACCGCGCGGGGTCTGCTGGTGGCATCAGTCTTGTCGATACTTAGGATAAGAACTCATAGATCCAAACCTCCATGGTAGCAGTTAACTTCTCCTTCTGTATATTTTTGGAGAAAATGAAGGTGATCTTTTGCACGATAATTCTAAGCAGACATTATTAGATAGTAGCAAAGTAATTACGGGTTTTGCTACTTTAGAAGAAATAGGAATGTTGCAGAATCTTCTTCAAATTGCTTTACTGTTAGGGAGTTTGCTGAAAATCAGCTTCCTAAAGCATGAATGCTTGAAAAAACCTACTAATAGAAAAACTTGTAAAAACTTGGTAAATTAGGAAAAAAGAAATCAGATTACATGTACTTAAAGGGAAGGATGAAGAAAAATGCAAAAAAACCAAACCAAAACAAAACAAAAAAAGCATTTAATTATGAAGATAATGTCAGATTTTCCAGTTACAGATGGTACAACCTATTTAGTCTCTTGCAAAGGCCCAACTGGCAGCTATTGTCTTGTTCTCACAGCCATGGCTGATATGAATGGGCAGCTGCACGCACTTGTACCGAGCGCTGGAGATGAGCCACTCTGGGCTACCGATGAAACCACAGTCTCAGGAAAATGGATGTTCTTTATCATCTTTCAGTCTTCGGAGGAATTTGTTAATGGCTTTGCCACAATGGTTCATCTCAGATAGGTTTCAGAATGACATCATTAGGAGGGAGAATAGCCAGAAGGCTTTTGGTTACCATTAGGTGAGTCTGGGAAGGAGTTTGATACAAAAAAAAAAAAGTTGTAGAAAGGAGCAGGCATCATCCAGACTAGTGAAAGTGGTAGGACTAGAATTTAAAAGCTTTGAGAACTGTAGAAGTTGGTGATTAGAACAAATGTACGGAAGTAAGCATCTTGAAAGGTGTGCAACAAGTTTTAAAGCATATCTCTAACTAAGGCAAAATATTCAAAAT